AGTTGAATGGCAACTCTAGCAAAACTTTGGGTTTTCCCACCTGCAGCTTGGGTTTGATGTGTACTAACTTAAACCACTTATTACACCTAACTAAATTAAAATGTTATTTTAATGGAAGGGTGTGGTGATATTTGACAGAAGTTACTTTTTTGCTGCTATATCCACCTATTGTTTGCGTTTTGTTTTGGGGTAGGAGGCTGTTAGGTTATTTTTACATGGAAAATACTTGGCAAATGGTAGATTTTATATGACTGTGAAGCAGTCAAAGCAATTTTAAAGATGAATACAAACTTCCCAGATGGAGACTTTGTTCCTTGCATTGTGTTTGTAGTTACAAGTTTTTTGACACCAAACTTTTCTTGCTAGAAGAGGGCTGACAATAGACGATCATTAAATGTTCCTGATCATCCATTTGAATGGAAGAGCTGGTATGAATTATAAAGCCGAACTCATCTTCTTGGGTTCACATTCAGATGTGTGGTGGTCAAGCAGTAAATTATCTGGTTTACAACTGGCCAGGAAAGACTGAAATTAAGAAGTCTATCAGCAGCTACTGGAGAGAAAAGCACCCAAGGCAATAAAGAACAAAAGGGATTGGAGAAGTATCTGTGCTTATTCATGTATTCTGACAAATGCCATGAATGTCCATTAGACAGGAGGAAGCTTTTGGGTTTTTTACCCCTCTATGTTAGATAGATCTGTCCAACTCCATTCCTGTCTAAACTGAGTCCTCCTGTCCTCCCTGTCTCTGTTGCATGCGGCTGAAGGGCTAAAACTGTAAACTGCAACGTGGATGGCACTGCGATTCTTTCTAGGAATGTGCTCAAGGAAGGAGGAGGTTTGAATATGGGCTGAGCATTGGTCCTCAAGTCTAAGGCAGTTGACTTGGGGCCTCCCTTTTTTGGTGGACTGTTGGAGGCAAATTCTGTGTGATCAAGTAATCTGTAGCTGAAGAAAAACTTAGTCCAAAAGGGACGTCAGGAGTGCAGTGACCCAGCGCGTGCAGAGCCAGAGAGCCGCCACCTCAGGTGCACGCAGCAAAAGGAGCGTGCCAAGGTCAGTGGCAAATGGACTTCACAGGTGTTTGCTTGTGACAAATGTCTCTGTGAAGTAGACTTCACCGCAGTGGAGCCCAGCGCAGGTTTGAATGCATGGGAGAAGCAACGGTATGGTTCTGCTCCTCACCCTAATTAGAAGTAACCGCACACTGTTGGTGAGCGCAAGGGAGTTTTCCTTTTTGGTTCCTTATCGCTGATTTCCTATGCTTAGACTCTGTGTAAGCTCAGGATTCAATCTTCACCCTGCTTAAACTGCGTGAACAAGTCTGCCCGCCCTGACTGATGGCGCTTTCAGGCTCTGTGCCTCACGCTGCTGTTCAAAGGCAGCTATCCAAGTCTGCTCCAAGAAACCTTGGAGAGGTGCCTCGACGATGCCTCGGCAGCACTGCGAGCCCTGTCAGCAGCGCAGCATTAGGGGACCTCACTTCCTTGGTAACTGATTACCCAGTATATTACCGAAAACCCCATTTTCCCGAGCTGTGGAGTGTGCCTCCCCAGGAAGGCTCAGAGAGGGGCTGGCACTCACCAGCCGTGCAGGATGTTCAGCGGGGGCCCGGGCCAGTGCGGGTGGTGGAGCTCGTGGCAGCAGAGGCCAAGAGGAAGCAGAGGCCACAATGGTCGGCTAGGACAAGGCAGGCTTAGACTGCAGCGGGGAAAGGAGGAAGTGAAAAGGGGAAACTAGGAAAAGGCTGAGACCTGCTAGTCGGAAAGTAGGAGAGAACATTTTTTCCCGTGTTCACTTACCCTACTCCATGTTCCTCTCTGTCCTAAAGATCTACAGAAAAGGAAACCATGAGATTTGCACAATCGTGCTGGCGCAGGAATAAGACCCTTTTTAAGAGCGTGTGGTTGCAGTCAGTGTAAGCTTTTGTAGGACAATGCTGCCACCAAAAGGCACACCCAGCTGTAACCTTCTTTGCTTCTGTAGATCAGTATTTGAACGTGGGACGTGCTGGGCCGCGGTGTTACAATAAGCTGGTCTTGTGAGTCAGCACACGTCAGCACTGGGTCAGAGCCCAGGTTGATCTCCTGCAGCGGGTAATGCGTTAAAGGATCTGTCTTACAAGGGACACCTCAGAAAAAGGCTACACTTGTCAGAGGTTTCTGAAGACACTTTGTCACTGCTTACCTATGTCATTTGGTCCTGTGTGGAGGCAAAATACCCTCATAAGCGCCTCCGTTCTTCCTGCTGCGCCTTCCTATCAAGTATGAAGTGATCAGCACTGGAGTCTTGGGATGTCTCAGCCAAATCTGAAAGGGGGCCATGTCTGAGGCACAACGCTCAGAGAGAAGTTGTAAAGCAGTATTCAAACATTGTTTATTATGCATGTGTGCATAGTAAGTATAGGAAACGGTGTAAGACGTGATGGGTTGCAGTGGTCCTCGTAAAAGCGTATATGTTCATCAAGTCCGTGTTAGGATGGATATGCCTAAAAAGGTATGTTTCTCATGTGTATGAGAGATTTTTTTTCTTCTCTACAGACGCAAAGTTTGTATCTTCAGCCTTGTCTTTGGTTGTGCTCCAGTTTTTAAAGGCTAAAGAAGAAAGGGTGGGTTTGGGTCAGAACAGGTGTTTTGTCTTACTGGCTTGTGGCCAGCAAGAACCATCCTCCTGTCCTATCCACAAGAACCAGAGAAACCAGAAGCAGAAAAAAACCTCCTGTACAGAAACACAAGGGTTCCTTCTCAGCAAAGAAAACCATAATATCACCCACCTGGCCACTGCGATAGATGACTTTACAGCCTTCAGGGCTTCTTGTCATGAATTGCAAAAGGGCGGTTTCTCCTGTTAATGAAATACCAAAGGAACTATGGTTTGGGGTGTGGGAGAAATAATTCCTTAAAATATGCCATGTTTCTGCAATGTTGAAATTGCTAAGGGAAAGGGCATGGAGTCACAAGGGTGTTGCTGCCTCTTGCCATGGGCTATAGCCTAATGAGCATATTAATATAACATCCTAAGTGATTGCTACAACTTCAGAAGTGTCATTATGGAAAAAACATAGTGGCCGTAGGAATACTTGTCAGAGTACAACCCAGGATAGACAAACCCGGCTTTGGTGGAGTGCCTCAGCCTCAGCTTGTACTGAAGCGTTCAGGAACTACAGCAGGGGATTTTGCCTGAATAGTTCAATGTTGATTCCCCTCAGAAGAGCTTATGGATCTCTTTGGTCTGCTGACATGCACATCATCTTAGTTCTGAAGCTGATGTGTGAAATCTCCTCAGTGGATGAGGTCTACATACCATGGGCAGATCCTCATCTCTGGGAGTCTGGTGGGCTGAAAGGACTCCCTAATTGCAGCAGGGCTTTGGAAACTTGTCTGTCTTGCCTCCTTCCACTGTCCGGGCACAGCTATCACCTTTCTAATAGGCATTAAGCATCACTGCCCAGAGCTGTTCAATTCCATTCACTGTCCTTTATGAACTTCCCTTTCCTTGAAGGGGAATGGAGACCTTTTTAAAGAATGCTCTTTGAAGACAGAAGTGGCATGTCTGAGTGTACTTGGGGAGCTATTACAGGAGTAGGGAGAAAACGTTTCCACACAGAGATCTCTCTTTCATACCCAAGGGGATTTTTTTTTCAAGCAGTCTTGTATCAGGATGGCCGTTCTCTTGCTTCTGACTCTTTATTCTAGGACCAAACACCATTAAGTGAGCCATCCATCTTGATGCAAAGTCATTCCTCCTAGTGGATTGAACTGTTGTGAGTAGAAATGCCCTTTATTGGTCTGAGAAACTGATACAGGCCAGGGAGGAATCCACCAGCAGAATGTCTTCCTCTAAATGAAAATGTTTCTCAGTTCCCAGGAGGGTTCCACTTAACAAATAATGATCCCGTTATAGGTATTTGTGGTATGGATTGCAAAGACAAACATCAGTTTGGGGAGATGGCAGATGGTATCACTGAATTCTCACCAAACTCTTAGTTATCATCAATACAATTCAAATGAACACATACAGAAAAGACAACTTTTACATTAAAGCTGCCTCTCTGAGATACTATTTTCTATCGGATGCCCATGTCCTGCCTCCCTAGCAAATGCTTTGGGCCCTCAGCTGTCTTTTTTTTTTTTTTTTTGAGTTGGGAAGCAGGCTCACTGCTCTTGCTCCTAGCAGGCAGCCATATCGCAGGCCAGAGAAGCCCTGCCCGCCTGCTGGCCTCCAGGACCTAGATGGTCACAAAATTTGAGCTTGTGTGCAAGAGCTGATTGCACCCCACGCTGTGACGTGCACTCAGAATATTGAAGAACTGCAGTTAGCATGGGATGAGCAGTTATCCCATCAGGTTTTTTTAGATGATTGTCAGGGAGGGTTATATGAGATTTCTTGTGAAGATAATTACTTCTGGGAAACTTCATTGGTGTGGGAGGGAGTAGAAACACTATTTTAATCTGCTTTCAAGCAGTTTTTACTGAAGCAAATTCTAAAGGCAAAAGTCATGTATTTGAAGACAAAATGAGATTGCATTGGCTCTGTCAGAAGGCTGTATTTTAATACTTTTGGTATTTATAGCCTTGGTGTTGGAGTTTCAGATCCTTATTTATGTTGTTGCTGATCCTCATCTTGAAAGTCCTTATGATATATGAGATTATAATAGACGTCTGTTCTGGTTCTGTTTTAGAAATGGTTAAGAAGTAGACATCAGCAGAAAAATAGAAACAATTTCTTCTTTTTTACAGCAGTGTAGTAAACCCAAACATAATGGATATTTTTTCATGGGGAAATAAATGGTAAATATAAAACCAGGAATACTGAATCTCTAATATGTTTCCTGGGGAAAAAGCACATGCCAGCTTATTTAATGTCATAGAAGAGTATAAATGTATAAATTGGTAGGTGTGATTAAAGTTCTCTATGCAAATATATTTCTTTAATTGTTTTTCACTGATACCCATGCTACATTTTAGGTAAATTAATGATTTATTTTATTTCAGAGCTCTATATCCACCATGTTGCCCTGTGGACCAGCTTTGTCCTTTGTTCGGTGTCTGGTGCGGAAGAAGAACGTGAGTGGTGAAAGTCTTGAGGACTCCAAGTTGTGCCGATGCTTATCAACGGTGGACCTTATAGCCCTAGGAGTAGGAAGTACTCTTGGTGCTGGTGTTTATGTCCTTGCTGGAGAAGTAGCCAAATCCGATTCCGGACCTAGCATCGTTGTTTCTTTCCTCATTGCTGCACTGGCATCTGTGATGGCAGGTCTCTGCTACGCTGAGTTTGGTGCTCGCGTTCCCAAGACTGGTTCTGCGTATTTGTATACTTACGTAACTGTTGGTGAACTGTGGGCTTTTATCACTGGTTGGAATCTGATTTTATCCTATGTTATAGGTAAGATGAAGAACAAACACAGGTCTCAAAGGTTTCTGAAATAGCAGTTATAAGATACGGATTTGGAACTATCTTTTCTGTCTTCATAACTTGCATGAAATTGTGTCACGACAGTTCAGTGGTGATGCACAAGAATGAACAGGATTTCTTCGCTGTCTTTGGTCAGGAAGAATAATTCCAGTAAAATCAATAAGCATATTTTTTTCTGAATATACACAGCAAGGACATTTACAAAGACCCCATCACTATAGTATCTCACTTCAAGAAAGTCCTGAAGTTTAAGTACTAACTTGTTACTATCACCTCATGCTAATTATAAATGGTGTCCTATCACGTAATCCCATAAAATACAAAGTTGACCAGATCTGAATAAAACCAGTGCTGATATGGCAGATATTCAAATACCTATTTCAGTGCTTTAGGAGAGACAATATTTTTTGATTCAAAAACGTTTTATTCCAGCGATACATGTTCCAAGCATCCATTACGCGTGTATATAAGCACGCCTAGCTGTATATGTATACCTAACTACAGGACTGTTGCCCAAATCACTACAAAATCAGTATTCCTGAGTATTGTAGTGAAGTGTATTTCATGATAGGAGAGTGGTAAAAATAAGGTTGTATTTAGCTATGGCCACATACACACTTTACAAGCGGAGACTATTAGTTTTAAATACTGCCTCCAGCAATATACATCTTCCTAGTGATTTTTTTTGCTTTACTTCCAGGTGAACAAACTTTCCTTCATGTTCTTTCTTAAACTGGTTTCTTACATTGCTTTATGCTGTTTAACATACGCCATATTGTAGCTTTAGAAATAAGTATCTCCCAGAATGACATCAAATAAAAATGATACAGAAATAATTTCTGCAATAATTTGGGAATAAATGATGTACAAATTTGTATATTTTAGTGGTAGAATAACATGTTATCATCTAACGATGTAGAAAAATTCTATAATGTTAACATCTCCTGGCAAAAAAAAAAAATCACTGTTTTAACACAAGCTCTGCTTTTTAAAATGCAAGTAGTGCCATGCTTAGTTTTATTTCTTTTTCAGTAGAAATAACTGTATCCTTGTATGTATGCAAAACCCTAAACACGTATGTATTTTATGAAGGTACATCAAGCGTAGCAAGAGCCTGGAGTGGCACTTTTGATGAACTTCTTGGAAAACAGATTGGTCATTTCTTCAGAACCTACTTCAAAATGAATTACTCTGGGCTAGCAGAGTATCCTGACTTCTTTGCTGTATTCCTTATATTGCTTTTATCAGGTAAGACACATATATATCTTCATTTATGGGGGTTGTGATGTCAGAGTGTTTCTTACAGACAAAAATGCTAAATTGTAGCATTGTGTTTGTGTTTTATCAGAAATAACACAAAAAATTCTGTTTTATCAGAAATACCTTTATAATGTCTGAGATGTTTAGATGTGTGTGTATTGACACAATGACTCTGTGAATTAAATTTATATAATCTAATTTTCATGTCTACCCTCTTTTTTTTTTAAGGTGAGACATGAAATAATCACCTGTCTGTAATTTTATAAAACCCATGATACAGATTGATGATAACAGGAAAATTATAGTTTTGTGTGGTTCTCATGGCTTTATTGCTGGTGAATGCTTTTAGAGGGACCTTAAGTTAAGCTTTGTAGTTTGTTAATGTGATGTGCTCTCCTTAAATCACATATTTTGTTTGTAGTGGGTATTTGTAAGGGTTTTTTCCCCTCTGAATTGTTAACTTATTCAGTATAAAATAACTTTCCCCTTTTTAAGTCTTCAAAGAGTTGTCTAGCCCAGAACTTGTTTGAGCTAAAGGGCACTCCAAGATACCGGCGTGGCCCAACAGACCGGTTTGAAACCTGAGTAAACCTTTCATGACTACTCCACTCACTTCTGTTTCTTTTACATCTTTACTCATGTCATGTTTTTAAATTACAAAAACTGACACCAGCTTTTTGAGGGATTGGAAAGCCCAAAAATACTGCAACTTATTTGCATGTTTGCATTTAACAATTGCTTTCCACAAGGAAACGTTCTTACTGCCACCAGGAGAGAAGGAAGCAGTATGTGTATTTTAGAGTGTATAGTTTGTTTTCAGCCAGTACTAGAAGTATTTCAGTATTCAGTAGAGGTCTTGCCCATATCTCAAATATTTGTTGTGCTCCGTCTCTCCTTAGATCAAACAAAAGCAGGATCTTTTCTTCTCTGGAAAGTGAAACTCATAAGTTACATGGGTATAACCTTCAGTTCTCTTACTCTGTTACCAGGGACTTTTTTGGACTCACTACTTGGGAAAACATTTCCATTCAACTCCTAATGCTAGAATGAGTGGTCAGTGCATCCTGAGCTTTTATTAGATCTCTGGACATAAAAACATGAGCCCCTACAGTAGTAAGCCTTAATTTATGGCTGTGCTTGTATCTTCAATTCATTTCTTCCTTCTGCCTCTTTCGGTTTTGTTTGTTTTAGTAGAAGAAAGCAGTGAACAAAAAATACATAAGGTGCTGAAGTCTTTAATTGAAAAATGTTTGAGGACTACATTATTTAAAAGATTTAGGATGTACCCACATTGTGAGTCACATTGCAGTGTAGATATTCCCAACTCAACACTTATTTTCCAGAAATTTTACCCAAAAAGTTTGATGTGGTTTTCATACAGTCACTAATGTAAACCACAAGGAAGTAGAGTGGAATCTTGAGGAAGTTACTTGTACAATTTTAAAAGTCGAATATTACTTAAATGCATTAATTTTGTAGAAGTTTTAAAGATAAATGTCTTGAGATTCAGAAGAATTTCATGCTTGCAAACAGAACATAGTTGGTGAATTATCACCATTAACAGTTGGTGCTGAGGCCCTTGTGTCTGCAGGTAGGAAGATCAGGGAGTTTACTAGACTACCGTTAGTCCAGCATCCTGCCAGGCTTGCGGTTCCAAGTTGCCTATAGGACCAGTTCAGACCCTTATGTTTTCAGGAGTGATGGGATTGAATTTGGTATAGCTGGAATGGACCTTTCATTTTCACGTCCTCCAAAGGAAGGAAGAAAAAAACAACCTTTTGAAAAGCAGAGCACTCCACCAACCAAATTATAACATGCTAGTGTAGATGCTGCCATCTTATATGTGTTTTCTCCACTGCCATTGCTGCTTCCTAGCATCAGTAGTAGAGATTCTTGATAGAAGAGGAAATGCTTCTCCTGAGGTTCTCCACTGCCCTTGAGTTTCCGTTTGTGTCCTGTCTTTTCAACCTCACCATCATTCCTTCTTCACTTCTCCTGTGCTTGTGCTGCAAGTTACCTCTCCAGGTCTCTGTGGTAAGCAGCTGAACCACCAGTGAATTAGCTGGGTGGAATTCACCGCTGCTGAGAGCAGGGGCAGTGGGGATGGCTCAGGGCTGTGTAGGCTGAGCATGATACAGTAATTGGATTGCGAGCTGGACAAAGCTGAATCATAGGAGTAGCAGATGATGTTTTACAGAAAATGTTACGTGCTAAGTACAAGGGGAAGTCCACAGAAATCTGGTGTTTGGGGTTTTTTTTCCCCCTACAGAAAGAACTTTAAAAAAATGTACATAGTATGTTTCATACTGCATTAGGCTGATTGAGACACTGCTTTTTTCAGAGAAACTAGGCTGAAGAAAGCATACATCTATTTCCAATAAAAATGCCGTTGGTGGAGAAAACTTGGGCAGCTTATATGATAACTTCTGTGCTATAATAAGATACCAAGTGTCTCATTAGCAGAGTTGGACATTTTTTGGACATTATCTTGAGAGGCTTAAAGTTTTCAGACTTAATCTCTAAATAATGAGGGAAAGCATGTATGTGATATTAGTGGAAATGCTTAGAGTGCAAAGAACCTGTGGAGGCTTTCCCATTGTATTTTATTTTTCCCAATCTGCTCACTGCCTGCTCTTCCATTAAACTGTTAGTATACTTACAGTTGTTACAAATCTAATGACACGGTAGCATCCTGATGGAATAACTTTCAGACTGTTTAAATGCAGTAGTCTGCAGCTAAGGCATGTGTATTTTGTATCAGACTTTTTTCCTAGAATATAAATCAGTGTTTATGAACAGGAGGCATGCATTTGTTTTTAAAGGTTTTATTAATGAGCTAGGAAATGGGACTCTTACTCTAATGTGGATATGCCCTGAAAAATTTAGAGTGAACAGGTCACATTATAAATCTAATAACTTTGATTATTTTATTAATCTAATGAGTAATTGTTCTGTACAGAATAGATTCTACCAATCTGTTTTTACGAAGCATAGAATTCTTGTACATATTTTTGTTCCATTGCATAAAATAGAGGTATGAATTGGAATCTCGGAAAAGTAGTAAGTAACAGTTGCTACTTTTAAATACTTAAAGAATACAATTAAAGAGGCTTGGTTTTGGTTTCCAATACCCTTGCCTATCGCTATGGTGTCAAAGTATGTAGTAAATTTGTACTACTGCTTTTTAAAAGTATTAAATCTAGTGTTTTTTAAAAAATATTATCCACAGTACTTCCATGTGTGTCTTCTTTAAAATGCCATTTTATTAGTTTATGGGACTGTTCATATCTATAAAATATTTTTATTTTATAGGTCTTTTATCCTTTGGAGTAAAAGAATCTGCATGGGTGAATAAAATTTTCACTGCTATTAACATCTTGGTCCTACTCTTCGTTATGATTTCTGGTTTTGTGAAAGGAGATGCTGACAACTGGAAAATAAGTGAAGAGTATCTTATAAACCTTACTGCAGTAACAGAGTAATTTTTTTTTTTAATTAATTTACTTGCTCATATTCCAAGCAATTTTCTGTTATAATTGCTTTTGTGGTATTGCAGGTAATGTTTCAACTAATAGCTGTGTTGCTGGAAATGATAAACTTTTTATTCCCTTAAAAATAGTCTTTTATTTTCTTGTTTTAGTTTCCCTTTAAAAATCATCTTAGTTCAATACTCTTGTCTGTAGCCATTTGAGAGGTTACTGGCTTCTTGTCTTTAAGCCATGCATTACCTGCAGTATGTGAGTATGACAGCAAGAGTTGCCTATACCATTAGTGTTTTTATATGTTTTGCTGCAAACTGCAAAGTGAGTAAGATGATAGTTACTTGATTTGGGTATTCTTCCATGTACTGTTATTTTTGTCTTTCTTACAAGCAGTGACATAAAAATGTCTTCTTGTGCAGTTTTGTAAAGCAGGACTCTGTCTTGACAAAAGCATTTTAACATGTTTTTCCAGAGTGGTAGGGGAGGAGGATGCATGTGTGTGTCCTACCAATACTATAAAAAAAAAAAAGTTATTTTTCTGCTGTGTTTTTGTTCTTTATAGGAATTGCTCATTCTGTGAGAATGTGACAAGTCTATATGGGAGTGGTGGCTTTATGCCATATGGTTTCACAGGAACGTTGGCTGGTGCTGCAACCTGTTTTTATGCTTTTGTTGGATTTGACTGCATTGCAACAACTGGTATAGTATTTATATGTATTAGATGCTTTTTTTGAAAACAAAACAAACCACACAAACAATATAACAATCTTGTCTACTGTTCGTCCTTTGCTTTCTCCTAAACTTCCTTCAGTCCATGTCAAATGAGTCTGAGTGCATTCCTGAAAGTGGCTATTGTTTTGGGAGGAAGGAGGAGATTTTACTTATTTTATTCCTGTTCTAAAAAAATTAATTATTGCCTTCTAAATCTGGGAAGTGCTTAGTATACAATTTGTTTTTCCCCAAACCATGTTAATAACCTGCCCACTTTTACAATTCTCTGAGATAAGGTATCTCTCCTAAAGGCTGGCTTGTAGATGGCTAACAGCGAATGAGTCCATTGAACTTATAATTAGTAGGTAAATAACTAGAAATGATGGACTTTGAGTACTCTAACTATAGAATGTATTTTTATGTCCTTTAGTTTACCTCCATTTTTAAATGGTATTTTTGGCAAGAAAATACTGAGTTTTGTTCTGTGTCACTAAGCTTATTTTATACAGATTTTTAAAACTTCTATTACAAATATGATTCCCATGGTTTAGATTAACAAATGGTTTGTCTTTGATGCTATCTTTTAAAGTTGAAGGTGGAAAGAAGTAAGAATTTTTGGTGGGGCTTTTTTTTTTTTTTTTTTTCTTTTTTCAGGAGAAGAGGTCAAGAATCCTCAGAAAGCCATACCCATAGGAATTGTGGTGTCCCTGCTTGTCTGCTTCATGGCCTATTTTGGGGTTTCAGCTGCATTGACACTTATGATGCCATACTATCTACTAGACGAGAAAAGTCCTCTGCCAGTAGCATTTGAGTATGTTGGATGGGGTCCTGCAAAATATGTTGTAGCAGTGGGATCCCTCTGTGCTTTGTCCACAAGGTAAAGACAATGAAATACTAATTTTATTGGGAAAAGCTGGTGGATAATAGATGACATTTAAGTATATGCTCATGCATTCATTTTGAAGGCTCAGTTCATGCAAAGGATTAGCAATAAGTATTATAAGCATGTTTTAGACCTAAGCAGGTCTTGATCAGAGTAGGTGGATTAATTTAAGTTCCTTTTCTAAACTGTACCGTTATTGAACTCTTCCCCTCTGGCTTATTACCCAAAAGTTTTTTATTAAAATACGTGTTTTCAGACATATGACCTGCAAGTTGTCTTTATTAACTGATAAAATAAACCTCACCCATTTTATCCTTTCTTGCTGTCCACTCCCAATGACTCAGCAGCTTTATGGGCTCTGTGTATTTGCAGGCAAAATTGAAGAGATGATTAATTAGCTCTAATCCTCATCTTCGTTGCCTGTCTCTGTGTTCCTCCAGTAGCCAGTCTGTCTTCTGACATCATCCCTTCCTGTGGTTTCTGTGTGGGTATTTGAGATGTAGATTATAGCTGTGAAAATATGATAATTTATTTCCCTTCATGAAACTGTGGATGTCACCTTATCGTGTTATTTTGATTAAAAAGATCAGGGAGGGCATGAGATATATTAGTATGTGTTCATATATATTACACCCCAATTGTAATGTGGTATAAACACTTCCATAGAATAGAGCATTGCTTGACACTTGAATTTAGGGACAGAAAAATGCTGATGCCAATCTTCTACCTGAACTTATGTAGGTAAGGAGTCACTTACGTGAGCTTCAGCAATAAGAATACTGGCTACCTTTCCACAAAGGATAACGTCGTGCCTGCTTAAGCACTAATGCTAACAGCACTCTGAGATAACCCTGTAAGCATTAGCCTGAAGAAAATGAGCACAGTGTGGACAATGATTTAAAGGAAAGGAATATTTTGATGTAGAAGGGGATAGAATAAGGAAATAATTCTAGTACGATGTTAAAAGAATTGCAGGGCTGACTGAAGAATGTCATAGTTACACAGTTCATTCTGGGATTATAGCTATTTTCTATCTAGTTGTCATGCTGCTCTCATTTGGAGGGTTTTACTGAATTTTTCCTCTATATTAATAAATAGTAAAAGGGATATGTAAGCAGAAACTAGCTTAAAGAAATTAATACTGAAAACCAAAGTGAACTGAGAACGTAAAATGCTTTTTCAGAAATCTGAACTGCTGGTCTCTTTTTCCAGTGTATTCTGAAGAATTATATTTACTCAGAGGGAGAGGTTAATCTTCCAGTCTGTTGACTGGTGTCAGTTTAAAACAAAACAGACGAAATTGTATTTCATATTCCTCAGCTTTGAGGTATAATTAAGAAAAAAAGTTTGGATCATTGCTGTTGGTCCATATAGTTACCTCTTACTATGTTATGTCATGAACTTGTTTCCTCCTTGTTAATCTTTCTGTTATTTATGTGAATGTACTTAAAGAGGGATAGGATAAATAAATTTTACAAAGCCACAACAGCAAAAGATTTGACAGTGGCTTTTAACAGTATCCTTATTTGAAAAATCAACTGTCACCCTGATTTAGGTATCATTCCTTTTTGGAAGTGACATTTATACATCAAAATCAGTTAATGTGCAGTGAAACTTACCTCGTGTGTCTAACCTTAAAGCTTGTGTCTCACGAGTATTATTGGAGGTACTTAGCATCTGTGGTACGTAAAAGCTGTGCCTTCTGTAAGTGATATAGTCGATTCCCTAAAGTAAGGCAACCATTCACCTGCTTAAAACTAGTGTGCTTGCTGCAGAGGTTATACTGGCTATGACTGGCTATGCCTTTTGTCTTTTCAGTATTTTTGGTTTTCTTAATTACAATTATTTCGCTTTGAGGGAAAGAAACCACCTAATTTAAGAAGTATGTTTAAAAAGAGCTTCAAGTTATCAACAGTTTAAAAGTGTTCTGTGTTCTGCTAATAACAAATCTAAATTAATTAGCTTTACTTCTTCTAAAAAAGAGAAACAATCTTAATGAAGCTGGGCTAGAGGTGCTTTAATCAAAAGCAATAATGTGCCCAAGTGTAACTTTATGGTGCTTACTTTGAATTACTGTTAATCAGCAGCCTCCCATGGAAATGTAGCGTGTAAGAGATGCTGCTAATGCTTGTTGATTTGCTGCTGCTGACTGACAGACTTTCTCCAGGAATACTAAAGCTTAATTGCATAGTTAGTGTGACCTGGAACATGTTCCTGGTCCACTAATACACAAGAACTACAGTGATGGCAACGGTTATTTTGCTAATCTGAATTCTCCCTGATGAAGCAATTCCATTACCTAAATTAATAACAAAAAATCCCGCCAAAACAATCAACTTTACAGGGAAAAAGAAATTTCTGTTTGTGTCTGATCTGTAGTATCTTGGGCTATGGGGCTTTCTGGTTTTGTTTTACAATCATAAATTTTGTTTCTATACATGCCATTAATTAACATTGTTTATCTTGTCCATGATACAACTCTGCATGAACTGTGTTTGCCATGTTGCATGTGTTTGCTTTTTACTCAGTCTTCTTGGATCCATTTTCCCAATGCCACGTGTAATCTATGCTATGGCGAAGGATGGGTTGCTTTTCAAATGTCTAGCTCAAATCAGTTCCAAAACGAAGACCCCACTAGTTGCTACTCTATCGTCTGGTGCAGTAGCAGGTGAGACTAAGAGTTGATCCTTGTAAAGAAAGGTGCACTGCTAAACACGTTGCATATATAGAAATAAACCACCGTTGTGGAGCTTTGATTTGCTTTGGACTGAAATGATCAAACCTGATTGTCGCCAGGTAAAGTAGGCTACCAGTAAAACTTTTCTCTACCACAGATTTTGTATTTGTTTACTTTCAAGTGCTTTCAAAGCCTAGGTTTAAAATAAACAACCCAAAACCAAGAACATCAGTCAACCGAACAAAAAACCAAGAGCAGCAACACGGAGCCTAAACCAAAACTATACCTAAACCCATTAACTCTTCCGAGCTTTCTTTTTGTGTAGTTGGGTTTACCAGTAAAGCATTGTGCTTTTAATAACCTGTATTTGAACTATACATTTTTCTGTTCTAGTCTTCTCGGCTCTATGTTCCCTTTGCCCCGAATTCTGTTTGCCATGGCACGCGATGGTTTACTCTTTAGTTTTCTTGCCAAAGTGAGTAAGAGGCAGGCACCAGTTTCTGCCACCTTGACAGCAGGGGTCATCTCTGGTAAGCTCTCAAAGCCCGTGTTACTTAAAACTGAGATTTAAATACTCTATGCACGTGCATGGTACTTTATATTTTTGAAAAGGGCTGCTTGTTAACTTCCCTTGCATGTACGATGGGAACAAAATTACCAAGTAATCAAAGGGTGTAAGAACTCCAGATCATGCCAATCATGGTGGTGGTGATGTCCTTAATGTCACAGAATTCAAAATTATTATTTCTTTTTTAATATTGGCCTTTTGTATTGTGAATAAGCTTGTTTCTTAATCCGGGTCCCTTAGGCTGATGCTCTTACAGGGTTTCCTTGTCTGATATACATCTATATATTTACCACATCTGTAAGGGGAGAAAACAACTGTCATGTTTTTTGAGACATGAGAAAAAAATTCTACATTTGCAACAGGATCAACTGTTGTGTAAAATGCAAAGATTTTTAAATTTTCATCTAAAGAAAAAGGTTTCTGTTTTTGTATAGGCTTACCAAATTGTGGCTGAGGTGTATATGTGTGTGTTGGGGGGTTATGTACATATATGTATGCACATACATACCCACTTATATTTTAGCAAAACAGCATTTTGGGTGCTGTTGGCCACTCTTAATGTTTCACAAAGACAATTTTTTAACATACAACTGTTTCACTTTTGTCCATACTTCTTGCAGAGGTACATGTAGTTGTGCCCAAATTTCATTGTCATTTCAGTGGGACGTCTAGTTACCCAGGAAAACTGGAAGCTCTAGAAGTATTTAACTTAAAGGCAAATAAATACATCTTCAAAAGTAATTCAAATAAGAAATGCATGCCTTATAACATTTAGCAAACCTGGCTAAAATTGATATCAAATAAGAAGTTCAGAACTGATACTAAAATATTGTTATTTATAGTCAGGGTCATCCTCAGATGCCACAAGACTGGAACTGCTCACACTGTGTACTTGACAATAATGTGGGAAGGCACAGTCATTATCTGGATAGTTTCCACATGAAGCATAATTACCAGTTCCCTTTTCTTTGGTCAGAATACAAATAAATTGCTTAGAATTACTTTTATTCTTTTGACTATAGTATTTTAATTTATGTTACTGACTTTTTCCCCTATAATAATTTGGAAGTGCAGTTATGTGGGATGAAATTAACATCTTTGTCGGAAATTGCAGTAATGATGAGGAGAAAGAAAACCATGTTACCCAGCTGGTAAACTGATATAGTTATACAGCCCTGACTGTAGCTATGCAGCAGCTGTCACTTGGACTGCTTCTGGACAGCTTGGGGAATTGGGGGTGTCAACAACTCACCTGAAGATGGTTTTATCTACTGCTGGAGAAGGAGTAATTTCTTCTTCTATTTTAAAAAATATGCATATTTTGTAACTTGTGGTCATAAATAATTTTGCTAGAATGGTTACGGATGTATGCAACAGCTTACATTGACTTTTCTATTAATTTGTAGCATGGATAGTTTTATATCTTTAAGAAATGTTAAGGAGATTAGATGTTAGGCCCCTTAATTAAAGTTGTCAGGTCAAGACTACAGCTGAGGCCATTGTCACATGTTGTTACCGTGACTCACATGTGGTAATCACAATTGCGAAATTCTGCACATGTAAAAATGTTTTGGTGTCAGTCCAAGGCTTCTTCACCATAAATTGATCTGCCATCATTTCTTACAATTGGAGTCCAACGAAGAGAGGTGGAAAAGTAATGCTGTGTCTTTTTTGCTCTTAGTCAGAAATTTACAGGAATTTGTCAGTTTGTTTCTAACGTAAAAGAATATTCCAGGCTACAAAGTAGCCTTTTGAAGCTAGGATTAAAAATTAAAGATAGCTACTGTACATGAAGTTATAGTAGGTTCTGTTCTTCCTCAGCTTTGCTTACCTATGCTCTTTTGAGCATGCAAAGCAGTGAGGTGTTCAGAAATCTACCCCATAAATGACTTCTTGGATTTAGGAACATCTACCCTCGTTAAAGAAAACAGGATGGTCTTCCTTCATTGGAAAAGTAGACTCCCAGATGAAATAAAAGTTCTGTAACATAGCAGTCTTGTTTTCAGAAAATCACATTTTGCTTTCTCCTTCAGGATCAAATACCAGGGGAATGTGTGTTTGTGCACTTATACACCTGTCTACAAATATATTAACAAACATGTAACATAAATATTATATATAACTATTTCTGAATATAGAAAAATGTGTGTGTGCATATTCATACAGTGTATGAAGTCTATGTTTAATAGTTTCTTTTGATGTTGAGATTACTGGTGATTCAAAAGATTAAGTATTTTTAGATTTTTTCTGCATCTCAATAATGTTAATAAAATACAAATATTCTAAGAGGTTCTTTGATCACATACATTTCAAAACAATTAGCATTAACCTTTCATTTAGTGATGGCTTGTGCTAATTTCTTTATGGGCTATGTGTGTCTGGGTGCAAACGGCATAGACAAAAAAAGACATTCCAGAATCTCCAAAAGAATGTGGCATTAGCTTTTATAAACACAAAGACTGCTATAATTACTATCAGTATCATGGAAGTTTCTGCCTCTGAATTCAAATGATCTTAAGAATATTAATTCTTGTGAGATTTTGCTGGCCTTTCCTGAATGCCACTTGAACTCAACTTTTTTTTTTAGTAAGGTAATAAATTTAAAAAAACCCACAAAACTATTTTATTCGAGACAACACCTGAAAGTCCTCTTTACATAGAGCTCTTTCTCAGTGCAGCAGAAATTTTACATACCAGTGACTTACTGGGTCGTATCATTTTTCCCCAGTTTTGCAGTGGGATCCATCTTCTCATGTTTGGTGAGATTTCTGCTGCAGGATCTGAACCTGATTATATAAAAATGTATTCTTAATGTGGTCCAAATTTAGCAAGCCATGTGTGCAAATACTTATGTTCAAATAAGTCCAATACAAATTGCTTGATTATGCAGCATGACTGTATGGCTCATCAGTGCGTATCTGTACGAATGAGATTCCCAACTGTAGGGAATTATGTTTGGGAATGTGGGCAATGACTTCAAAAATGTGCTGTTAAGGATTACCATGATTTCACTCATATCCCTGTCAGTAAAACAATGTAAAGTTACACTGTGGACAGATTTTAAAATCTTAGCTCTTAATATTAATCTTAGCACTTATGGTTGGACTTGATCTTAAGGATCTTTTCCAACCTAAATGATTCTATAATTCTGTGTCAGCCTCATACAAATTTTGTATTTTCTTTTCTTTTCTTTTCTTTAGCTATAATGGCATTTCTGTTTGACCTAAAGGCTTTAGTGGACATGATGTCTATCGGTACACTTCTTGCTTATTCACTTGTGGCAACCTGTGTCCTCATTCTCAGGTGAGTCAAAAACATCCTTTGTATTCTACTGTGTTTCATTTTGTGTGGTCAGTGTATAAACAGAAGTGACATTTACAGGGTATGTTTTTTTTCTAGCTTGCTAAATGTTTAAAAATTAGCTGTACGCATATAAATCATTACTAAGCAGCAGTTACCCATCAAAGAAAATGATATATTGTCATATCAGTATAGCAGTTAGTCAAGTCAAAGCTTCACGTAAAATCTAGACACTTTTTATTTTCTAGAAGATGTATTGGTCCAAGCATTAGTCCTAAGGGTACTAGATGTAAGCTTGTGTACAAAATTCAGTGAAAGATATTTTGATATGAATACAATCTATGCTGTACATGCTTGTACAGGCCTATTACATTGTGGGGGGCTATATGTGAAAAGTGTAGATGTTCTAGGTGGTTCACAGGATGAACAAGTTGAAATAATTGCTGTGTATTACTCTAGTCAAAAGCATAAGACCAGACAAGTGTTTCAAGATGTAGTAGCCCTAGAAGACAGTGCAAATATTATCTCTCAATGAGTGAGATGATAAATACTTGTCAGTAAAACTCTGATATCTGTTCTGTTTATAAAGCTACAGAACAATATTGATATATTGGTAGCTACAGCTCACTTTATTATGTACTGCTCTTTTTAACTTAAAAAGTCAGTCTTTATTACTTATGGCTAAGTAACTAACTTAGAAAGGTGTAACAGCTTAAATTCAGCTCAAATTCAATGTTGCAATAATTTACACTTTAAAAGCGAAGACTATTTTATCCCATAGTGACTTATTTAACATATGTATTTTTAAAAATATACCTAAATTCTAACAAAGCAGATGTAAAATTTCAGTTTATGACAGATAGGAGGCCTCTTATAGTACAGGAAAGAAGTCAGAAAGAAGCTCCGCTACCCTTTCGCTGCCATTGACCACCACACCCTGTCCCCTCTTTTTGTACGAAACCGGTCATTTATCTGACCCATCAGTGTATTCATGTAGCTTAAAAAACTGCCCCCAAAATCCCCAAACAAACCCAGCAAAAAAGTGAGTTGCCATAGTTTGGTTATATATGATAGTGACTAATAATATATGCAGTTGCAGTGCAGTTATAAGTTGGGATACTCTAAATCTCTACTGCAAAGAATTTAGTATTTAAATACATTTCTAGAGTCATACTGCTTCAAATCCCAAAGTCAAGCTTAATTTTTTTATTATCCTGTTTGTTTTATGCGTAGGTACCAACCCAGTTTAACCTACGAGCAACCAAAATATTTGCCAGAAAAAGCAGCTTTGGCTGCATCTGAAAGGGAATCTGCAGTAAGTGAATCACAGATAAATATGATACAAGAGAATCACTTCAGTCTTCAGGCTCTGATTAATCCATCCAGTTTACCTACTGAGCAGACTGCAACTACCGTTAACTTTTTAGTGAGTCTCTTAGGTAAGTATTCAGCTGTCCAAACTCATATAATGCATTAACATAAGCAATGGAATTTTATTACAGACGTAATTAAAAATCCAGTGATAACATGCTTTCTTTCGGTCATAATTCATGTGTCATTCTGCAGAATGCTTTTATACTTCTTGATGGATCTAACCTGTAGTCTACTGTATTTTCCTTTAATTAAACATTTACATGATAACATTTCATACTGAAGACCTGCTATCATTCTTAAGAGTCACATCCTCTTCAATGCAGAGATTAAATGACCTCTTTTTCATTTCCATCATTTTGTTTTTCACACAGCTTTCTTGGTTTGTGGCCTGAGTGTCCTCACTACTTACGGGATTCATTTCATTGCTAACTTGGAGCCCTGGAGTATTGGCCTTCTTGCTGTGTTAGTGGCGTCCTTCATAGTTACCATTCTCCTCATCCAACGGCAGCCTCAGAACCAGCAGAAAGTGGCCTTTATGGTGAGTAACATCTTCGCTGTGTTAATTCTCTAAAGAGAGGTTTGAATGGATTCTAACAAGTGGGAGAGGAGCACAGAGAGAGAGAGAGAGAGAGAGATGGTCCTTTTTCAGGCAGTCTTCCATTACTGCACTGCCACTATTGCAGGTTTTTTGGTGAAAGTAAGGGTAGTGGATGCTCACAGCTGAATCGCCGGCATGTGCAGTCCAGTCCCAGATCTTCTCAGGGCTGGAGAAAGGGTTTCACTGCCCACAGACTGAAACGTGTGACACGCATAGGAGCATGGCTGCAGATAATGGCCGTACCGTTGATGTTGGTGTGAACAGCTGCTGTTACAACTAGTGGATCTGGCAGCACAGATCTTCTAGGTATTCTTTTAGACACATCCCCAGACTGCACATTGCTGAGACCCAGGTAATTTTAGACCTCAGTTTAAGCGCTTAGAAACTGGAAAATAATTCAGAAACCTATTAGTGTGCAGTCACTTGTCTGTGTTGTGTGCTGTGGTTTGGACCACAATACAGTTTGTACCTCCCAGAGTATACGCCTTTCATTCTGAGCCTTCACTTATGTTCAGTTATTTAATGGAGATCCGTTATTTGTGATTCAAGATCAGTTATTTAATGGAAACAATAAAGTATAGTGATGAAGGTCAAGGAATCTGGTGGAATTGGGGGAGCAATTCAGAAAGAAGGAATATATAAAAATACAGAAATAATACTTCTCAGCTGTAGATTTAGGAATTCATTAGTATATGTTCAGCACAAACTGGAAAGTTTTTCTTCACATCCTTAGAGAATATATTCTTAAAACAATTTTTTTTAAAAGTTTAAGATATGTAGAAACCAGAGATTAAACCCGGTGAGAAAGAAAATTTCACTATGTACCAAGAAGAACATTTTCCTATTCTTTTTAGTGAGTAGATGTGTCACCTCTAGTTTGTGTTGTATAACTGAAGTGTGACATGCAAGAAATGACATTTAATGCTACAGACAAATGTTTCCTCTTAGGTTCCACTGTTGCCATTTTTGCCATCGTTCAGTATCCTGGTAAATATTTACTTGATGGTACAATTAAGTGGAGACACTTGGATCAGATTTAGCTTCTGGATGGCACTTGGTAGGTACCTCTGTTCATTTCAGTCACCTCTTACCTTAGGACTGATGATTCCCATCTTAGAACATTTTAGTCTCTTCCTTTAAATATTTGAACAAAAGTCTGTGTTTTAATAAGTCAGCTGATATTTCTGATCAAAACAAGAGCATACCTCAGAAGGGGTATTTATATGGAGTCAAAATTGTAAATACAGTTTTGAGATAATAGAAAGAATCAATGTTATAGGACTAATTCCAATAAGCCACAGGGGTTTTTTTCTGAATAAGTATAGGTAAAATTTTGCAGAGACCTGTTTGTAACAGTTTGCTTCCCAGTACATCAGTCATTCTCCTTTAAGATATGGAAAATTCAGTTAATTCCATCTAGACAGAAATTAGAGATAGTAGTTTTCCATGACTTATAAGAGCATTCAATTATGCAAAAATGATGCACTGTGATTTAGGGCTGGCACTTTCCATGGAAACAGGGAAGACCTGGAGCCTGAGCTCTAATACAGATACCTGAAGAGGAAACTTGTTTTGGAAAATATGTTCAGTTACAGAGTAATAACTAACTACTTTTTGATGCACTACTTGCCTGAAAACCCTATTAACTTTTCTTTTTTTCCTTTTGGAAGGTTTCCTCATTTACTTTGCTTATGGCATCAGGCATAGTCTTGAAGGTCATCGTAGCGATGGAGATGACGATTCTTGTTCAGAAAATAGTGGGCTGCAAGAAAAGAACCTTGTGGAAGAAGTGGATGAACCTGAAAATGCAAATGAAAGTGATCAATTTCTTGCACACGAGAGGACAAGTGAATGTTAATCTATGCAAAACATACAAGTCTTTTAAACTTTTAATTGACATTTTACTTGCAGACTGAAATTTCAAAAGCTTTCTGCCAACATTGTGCCTCTTGAAAGTGTTTACTACAACGCCTGGCTGGTATTTTGGACAAGCTGCTAATCCTTCTTCATCATTTCAGAGCTGACAGCATGGAGATTAATATTTAAATTAAAAAACAAAAGAAGTACCCTTTGGCAAGCAAAAATCTGGATACATTGTTTGAACTGTCATCCAAAATCACTGGCAATCACAAAATATGAAGAATTTTAGAACTGCCTGCAAGAAGTTCTGAATATTTGACACTGCACTGTGAACACAAGTGCCTTTCATACCTTCTCCTTATCTCTGTTACGTGTTTTGGTCACAATCTAATAGCTGTCTTTTTTCTACAGAAGTAACTCTTATGGGAGGAAAGTATTTTGTAATTGTACAGATCTGATACTTTGCAAAAAAGTAGATGAGCATATATTTATATAAAAAGAAATAATTGCTTACCCTTACTAATCAGGAGTCATGGAGAACTCAAACAGTGAAGATACTTCACAGGCTTTTAGCCTCTCTAACTAGTAGTCAAGATTTCTACCTATGTGAATTCCTTTCCTTTCGGAGATGCTGTGTGTATAAAATAATACTCCCAAGAGGAGTTATGTTGTTTTCTGCAAAAGGATCTGGGAAATCATCTGTTGGTCACAGTATTGAGAGTGACATTTGTATGTGATTTAGCAAATGTTGTGCTTTTGATTTCAGAAAGGCCAGGATTTTGTCCCTGACTATGTAATTTGGTACTTACAGCAGTTATCAAGTTTTCCTCGTTACTACTCACTTATTCCCCCTATACCCTTCTCCTTTATCGCATGCCAGAGTTGGTATTTCTGAGATTAGTTTTTACACATTGCTTCTCCTCAGAAAAATTAATGCACAAAATCCCAGCATTCTTTTCAGGTCGAAGGGGAGAAACCAGAGGCCCAGGCTTTGGAAAAAATCCTTGTCAAAACAGGATTTCAGTGCTTCACTAAGCCTTAAACATATGTTAGTACAGCATTTTTTTGTGAGCCAAGCCTACATCCACAAATCCATTCATGTGAGTAGGATGTCCAAATGCTAATTTATGTAAAGCACCAATTGTTGCAGCAGTGCTGGGTGAACAATTATTTTAAAGCTAGTGAAAATGGAAACTGTTCAACATAAGTGTCATGTTACCTGAGAAAGGCACCCAGATATTTTACCACTTTTTCTCAGCAAGTAGTAGGCTCAAGTCCCATGAAGGATTCCACGTTATGAAGTTATTTTGCAAGAATTTATTTATAGAAATAAGTTCCCTAAAGTAAGATCTGTCTTGGACTTTTCCATGGAGAGTTGCAGTGTGTTGCCAGTAGTAATCATTGGTATTAATCTCTGTTGTTAGCTGTGAAAAGCTTTAGATCCCATGAGAGCTATGTTGGTTGACAGTGAAAAGCACCTTACTTTTTATAATAGCTGGAATTTCACAAAAAAAAAAAAGGAGGAAAGAAAAAAAGTAGAGAAAGAAACTAGTTAAGCTGCTTGTGTGTCTCTCCAGTTCTTTTTCACACTTTTAAATCTTAAAACAACCTCTGTTGTTGTAAAGAGAATGGCGTGCCTAAATGCTAAAGGGCAGAAGGAGAAACGCTTCTTGATGGAGAACGCTGGGATGGGCTGATATCCCACCGTGGAGGTTTTCAGCCTGATCCTTTCTTCTCAGCTTGAACTGGGAGGAGAGGGTCCGGCGGCGCGGGCAGCAGCGAGCAGATAGATGTATGCTGCTCCACCAGTGGCCTCTACTGGCTACTCAGAATTAGGAGTAGCAATCTGAAAACATAAGAGGCGTGCAGTAGGTAAAACACCTACCTCTGAACTGAGGTTCCGGCATATACAGCCTCTAACTGCAGCTGCTGTTGGTGCTAAGGACTGTTCTAGCGATTGGTGGTTCTTAAAAATGGATGGGGGACAGAGGATGAGGAGAAACTAGAGGGTAGGAGGTGGCAATGGGATACTGTTTTTTAATAAATCATAGCCCATCCAGTATTGATGATAAGTTATAGCCCCTTCTTTCCCAAATTTGTCATCGTTTACAAGATGCCATTAAAGAAAGACTCAAATCTCGTATTAGACTAATACAAACAGATGATATGCTAAGTATTTGGTTGATAGGAATTCTCAGGGCAGTTCCTGGAGCTATTGATAATTTTCAGCACCTCTATTCAGTGACTGAAAGAGCTGCCTGTGTCAGTTGGATCTCCCATTGTACTGCTCAGCTGGGGCCCATTTTTATGCCAAAAATGACAAAAGAACTATATGTGCTTGTTTGAAATATTAGCAATCTAAGACTTTACAGGCTCTTGAAAGGAATCCAATAATCCAATATAGTAATCCTTAGATAGGTCAAAACGAAGGATCTGTTTTAAAGTAACCAAAAAATTGAGTAAATGAGTGTATGTTGTGTTGTTTTTAATCCCACAAGTATTTGACATAGAGAAGCTGATGCTTTTTCTGGAGCACAGCTTCTTCAGTGGTTATACTTTCAGAGGACATTCTTAACCTGTCTTGCCCAGTACTCTTAAATGGCAAAAAATGCCATTTTTGTGGGAACAAGTCAGCAGCGCGCAGGCAAAGTTTTCGCATGGCGTCTTTACAAGCCTACAGTGAAACACAGCTCTTTTGAAATTCCTTACACATCTTGGTGTGTGGGAAGCAGAGACTGACTTTTTTCTATGGTTGCTAATACTGCAAGAGCAGGTGAGCCAGGCTCCCAAGATACAAACTGCTGCTGTTCTGTGATGCACAAGGAAGATCCTGTTCCCTCCCATGGCCATCCTATAGAATGTATGTGTGCATGCCTGTCTACGTGTTTGCATCTTGTCTGACATTGGCCCATAGTGATTTTGATGTAGTGATTAAAATAATTTCTATACTGCACTGGAATTTTCCTTTGAAGGGATACTGTCAATATAACAAACTTCTGAATAAAGCAAGTGCTAGCTAAAGCTCCTGGAGATTTTAGAGAAAATAAATTTTGCAGCTTATTTACCTAATTGGATGTGTCAAGACTTTGTGTATTGACAGTTTCCCCTTTCATTTGTATCAATATTTCTCCCCCGCCTTGTTAGAGAAGTTAATTATATAAAAATAAAAGAATGTGCCAGAATGCTAAGGGAGATGGGAGCAGCTGCAGCACAGGAACTATCCACTTCACTAATGAGAGATAGAATGAATTTAAAGGAAAGTCATTGGGTATTCTTGGTTGCTTCAGCTGTGCAAAGCTTATTTATATGTGTGTATAGTTAAAGTCATTATTAGTCAGTGGCTGAGCAAGAACTGCCAAGCCAGAAGTAAGATATTTATGCTGATTTTGATATACATTTGTATACGCAGTCTTGAAATTCCAGATGCTTTGGTGGGACTTTGCAGGAGCAGCTGTGTGAAGGACAGCCGCGCTAGTCCTTACACAGGAGCCACGTATGAAACACATCCTGATTTTGTTCTCGCCTTCGCTGTATAACTGTATTTTGCCAAGAGAGCAGCTGAAAGCACAAGTCCAGTGGAATTAAATTGTTGTTGTTATTTTTTAACATAGTTGTTGATATTGTAAATTTTTCTGTGCAAATAATAATGGTATGTGTTAATACAAAATATCTATTATGGGAGGGAGCTTATTGGTTTTTTCCTTCAGTTGTGGGAAAAAAACAACCTCCAAAACATGTATTTGCGTTGGTACATTCTGGATGTGCCTTTACACGGAGGAATTATTCTTACCTAGTTGGATTTAAGAAAGTAAGCCAAAGCATATTTAAGGGAGAACAAATAAATCTTTTTGTTCTGAGAGATAAGATAACATTTCTGTATAATTCACGTTAACTAAAGTGATCTTCTTGTGGTATTCCAGTCCTAATTCTGCCATAGGAAATGTTATGAGGTATCTTAGATTTCATGGTCTGTTAATCCTGGATAAAACGATTCTGTTAATAATAGTATGCTTTTGCCTGCACAACAAATGCCGGTTAGATTCCTGAAATCTGTCATATTATGTTTATGTCACCATGTGTTAAAGCCATTTATATTACCTGCTGTTAGAGAATTATCAGTAATAAATGTCAGTACTAGTGGTATAGGGTTACTTATGTACTTACTTAGGAATTTAACTATGCCATCTGGAAACTTCAAATGATACAATGAATTTAGAGGCAAAACTTGGTAAAGCTTAAATACATAGTCTATATTTTATTAGATGATAAATGTACAAGTCTAGCCACCTTTCCCCTCAACTTTATGCAAATATATATATATATTTAAGAAACAAAAGACATACTGTTTTGTTGGAGGTTTTAAGAAATGCCAATATCAGATGTGCCATAAGCATCCTGGGTGAAATCCGTGACAGTGCAGGAAATCTGTGTGGGACTGTGCAATTGTTTTAGTCAGGTGTGATGCCTTTGACATTGAGGTGCATTTTGTACAGTAGGAATTTAATTCACATGATGGCTGGCATGTGTTACTCAATTAAAAAAAAAAGCAAAAAAAAAAAAAAAGCACCTTTTAATGCTCTTGGGGCCCTAGTTCTTTCTAGACTTGCCAGGAAGTTTGTACAAATTGCAGTATACTCACTGAAAGCACTGGGATTACTCAGTGTTAGGCAAAGCTATATTTTACAGAAAGAGCAGGTGGTATTTCACATAGTGTAGGATCTTTGTATTTGCTTTTAATTTCCTGTACCTTTAGTATTTCTTTCTGGTATATGTTTTGAGGTCCTTGGCATTTTTAAATAGTTGGACCTTTCCAAAGCTAAATATAATCTCTTTACCATCTCCTGATATGTTTTCAATTTGATTTTAGAAATCAAGCTCCTTAACATTAGCTAAGTTGAAGGATTTCTGTGCATAGATATGCATTACAAAGAACTATGTGTATATATCTCTCTCTCATTATTTTTATTGTCAGTTGGACAAATTCTGTTGTCTTTGTATGTTTTCATTGAGCCGTGTGCCAGGTAAACTCCAGCTTCACCAAGTTTAGTTGGAGTCAGGAGAAAGGATGAAAGAATTTGAATGTTTAAAGAGGGCTTTTTTCTTTTGTGTTACCAGAAAGCAAAGCATGAAATATGTGTTACAGATCTTTAAAAATAGTTATGTGTGCATCATTTTAAAAAGCATTAGTGTTCATATCCATTTCAACTTTCCTTTTTGTTCATATGTACATTGTAGTGATTATTTCTGTATTATATGCTGCTGAGCATTTAAAATGTAGATAGAATGATCATGATGCAACTTCAGAGAAATACAAATTTGTAGTTTAAGTGCTCTACCAAAATGAAAAGTCATGAATTTTTATGAATGTAAAAATGCTTATA